TTAGCCCATTAGCTGTCACCATCCTAATGTTCCAAGCCAATCTAATTGTGAAAATGTGACAGTCATATGGTAATGCATACCCTGTTTAATCCTCCTTTTGACACCAATAAAGTCAAAAATTATGAAACTCAACGTCATATTGCAAACTTTAAATTAGCGACTGAAACTATCAGTTCATCATGAAAGTGTTCACTGAGGTCACAGAGCGAGGGCACCAAAGAGCCACTTTCCAGAAGACTCATAATGAACTACATGTTTTGTTTTTGCAAACTCACACTTGTCATTATAGGGGGGGGAAGCAGGTGTAAGGCACTCCTGAATTTGTTTCGTTTCACTAGCTACAAAGATTTTGTTCTATATATATAATCTGTGGACTCATACTCCCAAGCCTGGATTCTAGCATTCTGGGGATCACCACTTTGATTTTCTGGAGCTAGAAGTCTCCATATTTGGACAAGAGAGTGGAATGTTAGCTAATGCTAGCTAGCTCAGCTATAACCAGGCCTCCTGCAGATATCTGCTAATTAGTGATAAGTAACGTACAAATAACATACTAGAAATTCACTCAGAAACACTTGATGACAGACTTGTTGGATAGGCTGCAAGCACATTAAGCAGAGATCAAACGGTATTATTTGGCACATACTTGCAGTGCAAATGCTCCAAAAGGCATCGGCACCACAAATATTGTCAAGGTCCACTTCAGACAATCAAAAGCAGACAGCTGAAGGCTCCTTTAGATTTTTTCTGAATATGATAGATCAACATTTTCTTATTTTGTCCCTTGGCCGGGGAAAGACTTTTAGAAAATGCAAAAGATAAATATTTTTGTCTATCAGGGAAAGTTCAGAGCTTCTATCACAAATTCTGTACCTGAAGACTGCAGCTTCCAAGCCTAAGCTGGCCTGATGTTGCTCATTTGCTTATTATTTCTCTGTCCGTTTCATCTTTACAGCGTAGTTTATATTTTTTGTAACCTTGTAATAGATTCCCTTCTTGGCCAGGTCTCCCTTGAAAAATCTTAAGGGCCTTTTAAAAAGAGGATATCTTCACAGCAAACTTATAGACTTGATTCATTTTTGGAGCCTTAAGCGGCATTCAGGAACTGCCGTTTTTAGTACTTCTTGGTGGTTTCAGTTGTCAGCCCTTCATGCTGATGGCTGGGTACAGATGAAAAATGTGAGCTTCAGCTACCAAGTAAGGCCAACGTTTAAACAGTTAAGCTAGTTAGACCAAAAGACTTGATGGCTTTCTTTAAAATCTTTGAAGAGACCATGGTTGTTATCGATAGTTACCAGGTTTGACTGGAGTTATACAGGCCTGACTTCACCTGACGTGCAAGAGGCAAAATCAAGACATGTGACAAGTCACAGTGCATGCTGCACCTCTTCTTGTCAACATTCACATGCATGTGGTGCAAAAGCTGTAGCCTCAAGTATATTTAAAACCATGAGGAGTCCCCCCACAGCCTCTGTCTTTCCTCGCTATAGAGCCAAAAAGGGGGTTCGAGGTTCAGCTTGAGAAAATAACCTCATGGCTCGGCAGCACAAGTCTTTATTTAACCCCGTGGGACTGTGACTCGCAGGTAGACAAGGCTGATGAGTGGCGAATGAAGCAAAGAAGCAAAGCAAAAAAAAAAAGAGACCCTCCTCCTCCACCCCCTCTGATCGCTGCGATTGAGCTTCTATTTCAATCACATACTTGCTGTAAGAGTTAAAAGAGCAAGAATCAAGGCCTGTCTGTGTTGGGGGGAGGGAGGGGGAGACACACGAGAGGAGCCTGTGGCAGCCCTGATAGCGTCTTCTCACTCTGCATGGTTTCCTGTTCTGAGTCAGTGTGTAACCCTGAGTTTGACTGTTGTCACTTGTCTGTCCCTCTGCGTGTGTGTGTCTCTCTCACTTCTCACAGCTTTAAGAATAATCAGAGCGGCTGATATTCAAACAGGGCGATTTAAATGTGCGATTGAGCTGGGGTTTTTTTTTATTTTTATCTTTGCTAGGTGTAATTAAGCAACCATGAAGCAGAAACAAATGGTGAGTTTGAGGCTAGGACTTGTTGATTTTATAGCTGAAGTATTTTTCTTTTGTTTTTCTTTGTCTTTTGTTTCATTCTTTTTTTCAGTGAGTGCAATAATGAAAGTAAACGTTGGTAACTTATCAGGAAAAAATAACGGCAATCACAGATATGAAACCGATGTAAATTTGTTTTTAATATCACAGAGAAATGGACAGAAATCTGGCTCGGAGTGCGGGCTGTGAGTGACAGTCGTGAGAAGGAAATCTAAAAAGGCAGCGGGATTTATTTTTGTGCGACGCAAATGCAGAACGATTTTGGCACTGGGGGACTCTTTTATCAAAAGATGAATCAGTGTTTTTGTTTGACCGTCATGCTTGACTGACATTAAAATTAATTTTTGAGGGAGGGGACGAGATCAGGAGGGACAAGGAGCTCGCGCACGCCTGTGTGTGTGTGCACGCGTGAATGCGTTGAGACAGTATGAGAAGCGGCTCTCTGACAATCAGACCCAGTGCGGACAGAGATCTGGAGAGTGTGTGCTCTCGAAGCCGGGATATTAGTGCCTGCGGTGTCAGTGCCGTGTGAGTATGGGACATGTGCGCTCGGCTTCGTGCCTCGGCTATCTGAGTTTTGCTTGCAGGTCTCTAACTTGCTGCAGCTGCATCAAACAAAGTCTGTTCCCACAAACGGATAAAATCGATACCGCTTTGCTTTAGTATGACCTTGAACCCAAATCTTCGCAATGATTTGCATTTTGAGCCTGACAGATTTCTGCTTAAAGGGGGAAAAATTCGCTTTTGTGATTTTATTATCATCATCAGTATTTACACATTTTTATCCTCTCCAGCTGGCACTGGCATGTGACTCTTCTTGTACTTTTGTTCAGTGGACTGCTTAATTGGGTCTGTCTATTAGCCTGGAGGAGGTTTTAATAATGTAAAACAATAAGGCTGAAGTCAGTGCGGGTAAGCTGAAGCAGAGCGACTGTAAAGGGATACTTCGGCTCCCCACCAACAGGCTGTTGCGCATAGCGGCCGTGCGCCGTCTCATTAACGAGATCACTTTACAACCAGTCAAACAAATAGGTCATTATCCATCACTGCCTGCTCTGCCTGTATTCACCAGCCTCAAACCCGCAACTCTCATGTCTCACTTTATCCAAATTATATATAATCAACTGATTTTAATTTATTTACTTATGATAATTTCAGTTAGTTTATGCTTTGAATATACAAACATCAACTTCTCAGGACACAAATCAAATTTCGGCTCCAAATGTATTTTAATGCCTTTAGAATATTGTAAATGGGAAAAAAAACAAACAAAAAAGATGTCATTATACGTAAAATTTTCAAAATTACTTTAAACTTGTTTACTTCATAAAAATATCAGTGAATATTATTACACCATATGCTTTTAATTTAGGCCGTATGTAGTTTAAGTCGACGTTACTCTACGAGCTACGTAAACATACATAGACTTCCTCTTCTGTGATTCAGCTGACGTCCGTTACAGTAAACTGAATTGAAGCGCTGTATGTGGTCTTCAGACGCATATCTACTCTTTGAGGGGAAGGTGGCTCCACTTTTGGTCACCTGCCCGGCGTCACCTGGTAAACGATACGGCTTCTCTGCGCATGCGTAATAGACTGCCAAAAATCCTAACACCGTATCGCCTGACGACCAATAGTGTTCCAATCTGTCCAGAGATAAAGTCAGAGCAGCGCTGAGGGGACAGACGTGAAGGATTTCGGACCCGAGCAGCGCCGAGCTTTAAGACTGAAGAAAACTTCAACAACATGCCGAGATCTTTCCTGGTGAAAAGCAAAAGGGCCCACAGCTACCACCAGCACCGCTACTTCGACGATGACTACAGTAGACTGGACACTATTATGGCTGATGTGTGCGCAGGTGGGTGCATTTGTGCGTAATTACGCACGAAACTTGGGGAAGAAAAAGGAGTCGTCTTAGTGGGAATTCTGAAAATTCAAGTGCACAAATTCACAACTCCTTTCATTGATTATCCTCTTGTGCCAATATAGAAACAAAATCTCAAGCCGAGTTCGATTCCAATCTGGAGCAGGAAGACGTGAGGACCGGCGCTGACAGACTGTCCCCTGGGTCGCGGCTGAGGTCCCCGAGGTCTCTGTCCTCCAGCTCCCCGCTGAGCTGCGGAGGCAGCGCCTGTGACCGGTCCTCCGACTGTGATTTCTGGCGTCCCCCGTCCCCCTCGTCCTCACCAGGTCTGTTCTTATCAAGACAAAAATATCATCAGTTTGTGTCTAAAATTTAAAGAGTTTTTCTCTTTCTGTTTTTAATCCTTCGTTTCATTTGGTGTTGGGTTCGTGAGATGTCAAAACCTTTACGCATTTTCAACCCGACTTGTCCAACTATATTTGTGTATGATTAATTATTATTATTGTTGTTATTATTATTGTTGTTGTTGTTTATTAAAGCAGAAATTATTTGGGCTATAAATTAAACATAAAAACTTTAAGGTTTTTGATGAAGTGATGAAGATACGAATAATTATATTTCATATATTCTATTTCACATATAAAATATTTGGTGAAAGAATCAAAAGGACACTTGTGATTAGTGACCGGACACACGACCCAATAACGACTTAAAAGTTTTGTTTTGTTCTGCTTTGACTTTTACGCACGGTATGGAGTCATGTCCAATAAAGTGCAGTGCATTTTCCAGGTGTCCATTTTTTTTTTAATGCAGGACATTATTTGAAGTTTTTAAAGATATCCAAATTAACTTTCAGATTCTGAGAAATGCTCCACTCCTGCAGCGGAGGACGGTCACTCGAACATGCCAATCTTCCCGTACTCCTGGTCGGCATACTCAGGAACCGAGCTGAGACATCTGGTTCAGGGGTCTTATCACCACCACCTCCAGAGCCACAGGGAGTCCCAGTCACCTATAAGCATCTACAGGGGAGAGGACAGCGGCAGTGAGTCCCTTTATGTACAGCGGGGCCTCGCGGCCGGATGTTACCAGGGTTATTCTTCAACGGCCCAAATCTGCAGGATGCGGGACAGAGACGAGCTGTATCTGGATGCGAAGCAACAGGCCCGCGTGGCGGAAATCAAGTCTGAGAACGATTTCATCCGCGCAAACCTCGAGTCGAGTGGATCATACAAGTGCATTAAATGTTGCAAGGTAGGCGTTTCCCTAATTTCACTTAAAGTCATCATTTTCAGTTTTTTATTTTGTTCAGTTTTCCTTTTCGCTTCTTTAACATTTTCTCTATTGTTTTCCCTTCATTTTGGGTTTGATTTGGAATCATCCATGTGTTTTCCAAAGGTGTTCTCCACGCCTCACGGGCTGGAAGTTCACGTGCGGCGGTCGCACAGCGGCACGCGGCCGTTTGAGTGTGGGATATGCGGAAAAACCTTCGGACACGCAGTGAGCTTGGATCAGCACAGAGCGGTTCACTCGCAGGTATGGGCCTCCAAGCCGGAAATAAACCAGTGCACACGTCCCCTAAACCCGCTTTAGATCCACATCCTCGACGTAAAGGCCACAGATGACATTTTCTTTTCCCACTACCAACCTCTCTGACTTGGCTTAAACTGCATTTCTACATTTAAATCTGATACTTCCAGGTTTCTCGACACTGACAGAATGCTGTATTTTACAGGAGAGGAGCTTCAGCTGTAAGATCTGCGGCAAAAGCTTCAAGCGCTCTTCAACCCTCTCTACGCACCTGCTCATCCATTCCGACACGCGGCCTTATCCGTGCCAGTACTGCGGGAAAAGGTTCCACCAAAAGTCAGACATGAAAAAACACACTTTCATTCACACAGGTGAGACGCTTTAGCAAGTCAAAGTAATCAAGACGTGCAAAAAAGAAAAATAAGACCTAACATTTCCCATTTTTTGTCCCTGCTTGCAGGTGAGAAGCCGCACAAGTGCCAGGTGTGCGGGAAGGCCTTCAGTCAGAGCTCCAACCTCATCACGCACAGCAGGAAACACACGGGCTTCAAGCCCTTCGGCTGTGACCTCTGCGGGAAAGGTTTCCAGAGGAAAGTGGATCTGAGGAGGCACAAAGAGACGCAGCACGGACTGAAATAAGCAGGAGTTCATCGAAACTTGTGGCGCTTTAAGTTTGCTGTAATTGGTTTATTTCCCCCCTACTTAGCCTAAGATACGCTGATTGTTTATTTATCTGTTGTGTTTTTATTATTATGAAAAAAAAAACTACTAAATAATTTCACAAGCTTTTATAAGCTTACCGTGCTGTTTTAGTCAGCCTTTTTAACGGATTAAATATTAACTTAAGGAGCGCAGTTGTCATTTTTTCCCCATATTTCTACATTTAATTACCGGTTAAACACATGTAGTTTTTATCCACAAACATCTACTCTACCGGCTAAACCCACCGTTCACCGGTCCACTCGTTTGACCCGTGAACAAACGAGAAGCTGTGCGCTCAGCCGTGCAGACCCATCAATCACGTCTCGGAGTTATATCTCAGATATTAAATAGCAGAAACGTTTCGCTGCATGCGCCACCTGGTCAAAACCAAATATTTTCAGACAAGCGCATTGCTGGCATACCCGTATAATAAATGATATTATGGCGCCATAAAACCTCCACGTAAAGGAAGTCGGGAGAAATAGCGCTGGTTTTATTGCAGGAGGAGCTCCTCTAGCAGCAGCAATAAGCAGCGTGCCCACATGGCGTTTTCACTCAGGGGAGAGAAAAGAAGAAAAAAAAAAGCTGGGTGTGATTTATTTGGCCCCGCCTACGTTAAACATCCACAGCTTTAAAACTTCAAGGATCTGATTTGGGCATATCTCACCACAGATTGTGTGCGCAACACCAACAGTCTCCAACAACATGCAGGATAAAACACACAACTTCCTGCTACTACTACTACTACTACTACTACTATTATTATTATTATTATTATTATTATTATTATTATTATTATTATTATTATTATTGATACATTTATTTTGTGGAAACAGACAATCCAGAAAACAATAGAACAAACAAACAAACAAACATTTGTCACACAGTCAAAGAGTGCAGTTTTATTGCTTTATCCGTATCCGTGTCAGTGCGCAGGGGATTTAAACAGCTGGACCAAATTCAGAAGGTCCTGCTCCTGCAGACCCAGCTCCACCATCAGCGTGTTCAAATACTCCACAGATGCCGAAGTCTTCAGGGCTTCTCGCACCAACGGAGACACCTCTGACAACCTGAAATGTGAAAAACCAACAAATTAAAACCAACTCAACACTAAATGGGCGACTTATCTTCCAACACAAACGCAACCCAGTTCTTCGAAGTTACAAAAGGGATCTGTAAGCATTATAAAGACTACCCTAAAAGTAAAAGACGACATGTTCAGCCTTCAATAGCGTGATGTGTAAAGTTAGCAGTCAGTTCTTATTTAAGCCATGTTCTCACACAGGCCTCTCTTCGCCAAGGTGCCGGTGCTATGAGAAAGCAGCGGTTGCTGACTCATACAGATAAAATTTGTTGAATAAAACAAACTCGAAAGTTTTATTTATAGAGTTTTTCCTCAGCAAAGTGATCGGGTCAAATAGAATTATTGCAGACCTGAGGCAGAAAAATATCCTGCTTTTTTTATTCATGAAAGTGTTCACACACACACACACACACACACACACACACAC